ACAGAGAAATTATATAGCTTAATCCAAAAAACAAATAAAAATCTCAGCTAGCAAAAAGCAGCTGTCATGGAGAGTACGTGAATCCAGATCCAAACAATATACTATGCTTGTTTGCTCTTCAGCTTTTCAAACAGGTAAAAGAGTTACATGTCATTTTATTGTTTTTAATCACACCAACATTCATTACAATTTCTATCTTTATATCCAAACGAGACATTTTTTTTTTTTCTCGAAAAATTCGTCCAATCGCAACCTAATGATTCGTCTTTTGTACTATATCATAAATGCAGTGCACGGATCTTATCTGGCCGGCTCATATTCTTGAGCCCAAATGCTTATTCATCACAACAAAGCCTAATAATTATCATACAGACTTACTAATTGATGATCCTGTTGATGACATCATTTTCCTGTCCAAACAAGACGCACCTTACTGCCGTGTAATTTTTTCCAGCCTTCTCTTCCTCGGAATTATTAAATTGCAAAAGAAATCCCTTGTAGTTTAATGTAATTACAAGAAAAAACTCGTACATCTTTCAAAACAGTCGTCGCGTGTTTTCTAAGTGAATTGTGTGTATTCTTTAGTGATTTGCATTTTTTATTGTTGTGTACGCATTTGTATTGGCAGAATTTTAATTATGTGAGCTCTCACGTCTGGATGAACGATGAAACTGTACGAGAAGCTCTGTATATCAGAAAGGTATCTTATTAGGAGAAACAGAACAATTTTTTTTTTTTTTTTTTTTCCGTTAAATTGCTTGTCGTAATATAATTTTTTTGTGTTGGATGAAAATCAGGGAACGACAGGCAATTGGAAAAGATGCAATAAAACATTAAAAGGCTATGAATCCGATGTGGAGAGTGTTTTTAGAGATCATCAACTACTAAATGAGAAAGGCTTCCAAACATTGGCTTATAGGTGAGTTGAAAGAGCTGTATTCATTCAGACTAAACTATTAGCTAAATTCCTAACTATGTTAAAAGGAACTCCAGTTAGATAATGTCTCTTATGACTATTTGAACAAGATTGACCTCAGTACATCATGTTAATCACTTGAATATCAAGAAATTAGTGCGAGTTTTGTCGATTAGTATTTAAATTTCGGAAAACCGTGTTATTTTTTTTACAGCGGTGATCATGACTTCAATATACCTTACTTGAGCACTTTGAGATGGATAAGCGAACTGAATCTCACGATTGATAGCGCATGGAGGCCTTGGACTGTAGATGGTCAAGTAGCTGGGTTAGTGTTTCTGTTTTTACTTTGCTGAGCATTTTTTTTTTTATGGCACAGAAAACACTAAATGCGTCTGATAGTGAAAAATTAACCTCAAAATTGATATGTAAAATTGTTCATNAAGTTTTTTTTTTAAAAAAAAAAAAACATGTTTCTAGTTTTCAAATTTCAAGTAATTAGAAGTGTTGTATTTATTTATTTAGTTGTTTGTTTGTATGATTTATGGTGCTTCTGAACTTTTGCAGGGTGCAGGTCATACAGCTCCAGAGTACAAGCCTAAAGAAAGCCTTGCAATGTTTGAAAGATGGATACTTTTATCCCCACTCTAAGACAAACTAATGCATAATATTTTCAAATAAGCGTTCATTAATTATATATGTAATGACACAATAATTGTCAGTGTCTTTCTTTTCTTCGCAAAAAAATTACAAGAACATTTAACATCGCTATATCTATTATTCTCTTATCTATAAAAGAAACACTTGCTCTCTCTATCTGACACGTGTCCCTCCTCATTTCTTGCAGCCACGTCGCCTTCATAGAAACGACGTCGTTTTGTAGATGATATGTGATGATTGAATGTCTGATTTCTCTGTTCATTTCTTGTTATTGCTTGGTGGAGTATACTTGGTTGATTGAAGATGTTATCTATATGTGCTAATTGCTTTAATTTTTTTTTTCTCCAACTGGTGTTGAAGGAGTGGAGTCTTGATGAAATTTGGTAGCTTGGGTGGCAAGTTTGGAGGAAAAAGGGATTGTTATTTGTTATGGGGACAAATATATTTGAGATAGTCTAATTCTTAAATATTCATACAAACATATAACATATTAAATTTTATTCATCTGTGTAACGTACACATAATCAAATAGTAGTATCAAATATTATTAATGGATTAGGTGTACATGTATTAAACTTTTATTTTCCTTAATTAGTATCTGAACACAATATTTAAAAGACACTATCATATATCATAAAAATAAAATGAAATGGTAAAATAAAAAAGTATTATATTAATCTTAGTCTATATTTGTTAAGGTACTTAATTTATACGGTTCATCGTTACTGTGTCGCATCGCAGAGACTATATACTAGTTTCATATTATAAGTACTTATGAAATATTTTTATTTATAAAAGTATATTTAACTAAAGATGAATTTGTGTTTTCGAAAATCCTGGTTTTACAATGCATGCACAATGGATGATGTATGTGAATTATATTTGTTCAATCTAATGCAATGTATCTAATTTGGTTTCAATATATATAGCAGTTTTGCTTTATGCTTTTCCTCAGATCATAGTCAAGTTGATTTGTGGTCCTATGGAGTCTATGTCATGGAGGTTCTAAATACCTGCCATCACCCTTTATGAAGGTGTGACAGCTGTCTCGATAGATTTGCTATATTTCCTTCCCAAAAATAACTAAATAATCTAATAATTGAATTATTATTATTATTTCCATCTCCATTTTTTCAATTTACTGCTCATTATTTCTTCCTTTTACTGCGTGATATGGTTTATGGACACTTAATAAAGGTGAAAACTGTGTATGTGAAGGTTTTTTCGCTTTCACTAAAAAGGTAAAATTCATTATTAATTATCTGCTTTTGAAAACCATGAAAAAAAGGGGATACTACAGAGGTGATTTGTAGAAAATAAAAAAATAAAAAAAATACACATTTTAACAATTAATTCAATCACAAATACACATTTATGAGTTTGGCAATGTTATTTGTTATCGTTGGAAAAAAAAAATAAAAAAAAAATCATAATTCAATCACAAATACACATTTTAACAATTAATTCACTAGACAATTAACATATTTTTTTTTTCTGTGGATCACCTCAACCTTTTGCTTCTATTTGCAACTATCATTATAATTCATTATTAATTTCCTTCAAGTAAGTGTTGTTTTGAATTGAATTTTTCTAATTATTTATCCTTTTAAACTATATATATCCTTCTAAACATATATTTTATTTCTTTATCGTTTTAATCTATCCTTCTAATTATGTAGTATAAGAAATTTCATAAGTATGAAAAGTGAATAGTTAAAGTATAATAATCTGAAAATAAAATGAATAGTTATTAGAAAATTAATATATAAATATATTATTTAAAAGAAAATTTGATATTAAGTAAGAAATAATAGTTGAATTTCCCAATTTTTCAGATAAATGTAAATGATAGTATGTAATATTCCTCAATGCTACTACAATAAACCAATTTCCTAAATTTAGAAGTTGTTTCAAATACTTACACCTCTGATGCTAATATTCTCTTTGCATTAAAATGAGACTCAGTGTCACTAAAGTCTAAAGTTCATTTTTCTTTTAATGAAACTTAATTTTTTGTCACTCAATAATAAAGCAATTCTCCAAAATTTGAAATTTCCCAATTAATTAACTTCAAACTCACTAGGATCTCACCAGTTTTATAAGGAAAATTTTGCAATTGTACATTCATTGTCCAATTTTTCAACCCAAAGTACTCTGTACTGTGAGTGTGATCTACTTGCTAAAATCCTGGTACATTTTTCTTTTTTTATTTTTTATTTTTTCTTTTCTTTTCCACAGCTTTTACTGATAAAAAACACATGACTTGTGGGCCTATAAGTTAGCAAATGTTAGAAGTAATAGCTACAGGTCTGGGAAGTGGGAAACTGCAGGGATAAGGGGTAGAAAAGCCAATTTATTTTTTACAGTTGGGTGAAGAGTTTTATTAGGATATTGTCATGAGAATTGGGAACAGTCCTAGGTGAAAATTTAATTTTGGAGCATATTGAAAAAAAAAATTAAATAATAAAAAATAAGATGATTGTTATCTGGATAATTTTTTCGCGCTGTTTCAACAAAGTAATTATTGGTGGTGGTGTATTTTGGTGGCTGTTGGCAAGACAAGAAAGTTATCCTCCATACCTTTTTCATTGATCTATCAAACATTATTCACAAC